TGAATTCCCAGCCAGTGCTTCTCACTTAAGTAATACCGCTGCCATAAAATAAGTGTTTGCAGAAAAAATTTCCATGTGGAAAGTATCAGTCTGCACCCTGACCAGAGGAGCGGAGGTTGAGCCAGAACCAAAGACAGTCCTGCAGGTAAAGACCACCCCGTGCGTCACCGTAGCATTTAGGCTGGGCCACAGTCAGGATACACACCAGCATTTCATAAATCTCACTTATGCTCCACTATATGGGAAACGTTTCCCAGAAGAGCCCTAAATCACCCCTGCCCGGTCACAGGATGGATCATGCGTTTTCCAGGGACTCCGAGGTGGGAGAAGCCGCATAAAGACCTCAGAGCGACGGGCCAAAGGAAATTGCGTAACAAAATACCGAGTCGATGAGATTGCAAACCACACGGAAGTTGGACGATGCACTTGCTGGCTTAGAAATTATTGAACTCTTGGTTAGGAAGGAACAGTCAGTTTTTTGGTGGTCGTGTACGTAGGGGGCAGTGGGGATTCTTTGGTTTTTCTTCCCGTCAATGGACTGTCAGTTATCCGTGTGCATGTCAAAAACCTGTTGCTGCTTAGGGATGATCCTGTCTCCGGCATCTGCCTGGTGCAGGACAAGCCTGGCCCTTCCCCTGCCGCAGTTTTGTCCACCCTGCTGATAGCTGGAGCCTCCTCTGCCCCTCAGCGTGGGCACAGGAGAGCAACACCTACAGCTTCTGCATCCCCGTGCTGGAAGACGTTATCACACCTTGCAGCCCTGCACGTTGATCCCCTGCCTTACCGAAGAGCATCAGGTTTGGTTGAATCCCAGAGCACATTCCCACCATTATCACAGCATTTCCCAGCCATCTGATTTCCCCATCCCCGAGTTGCTGCTTTGTTTATCCTATTAATTCCAACCACCCCCTCTTCCCCCAACACACACGCACGCAGCCTCGTTTACAGCATCTTCGCCAAGCAGAAGCCTCCCCAAAATATTCAGGGCACACCAACCGAGATCTCACACGTGCGGGGAAACCCTCGTGACTACAGCTTTTTTTTTTTTTTCTTCCTCGAGCAAACATGATCTCATGATTTTTGATTTTTGATTTTTTTTTTTAAGCTCTTAAAGGGGAAAAAAAAAAAAAAAAAAAAGGAAAAAACCACCAAGGAGGGGCACACCCGGCCTGCCGGTACCTACCGGGGGCAGCGGGTGCTGCCCGGCGGCCGGGTGGCACGGGTGGGTGCTGCAGCCGCGGTGCCCCCGGGGGTGAAGGCTCCCCGCTCGCAGCCTCCTCTTCCTCGGGTGCTTCTCCTCCCTCCTCCCTCCCTCTCTTCCCCTCCCTCCCCGCTCGCATTTCCTCCCTGCACCTTTAAGAAGCACATCGCCGGCCGGTGGGATGGTGTCTGCTAAAGCTGCACAGAGGAAGTTACGCAGCCGGGATCAGGCACGGAGATAAAAGCTCCGATTGTGATTGAAAGTGAGAGCAAAAGGGATTTCAGCCTCGGCATTAACTTGCGAGGGGAGCCGGGGATTGCACAAAGCTTCCCCGGCCATCTGGCCTTCCCTGGGGGCTGGCGGCTGCCCGCCGGGCTGGGGAGGGGTACGGGGGGGTTCCCCCCACCCCCGAAGTTCGCTG